CGGCAACAAGCAGTTGGCTCCGGTTGCCGAGCCACATGTGGCTGCTTGTGCCGCCCATGGAAGCTTCTGGAATGGCCGGGCATCGGCAAACAACCATTGGCTCCGGTGGCTGAGCCGCATACGGCTGCTGGTGCCACCTGTGGAAGCTTCTGGAATGGCCGGGCACCGGCAACAAGCAGTTGGCTCCGGTTGCCGAGCCGCACGCGGCAGCTCGCGCCGCCCGTGGAAGCTCCCGGCATGCCGGGCACCGGCACCCCACAGTTAGCTCTGGTGGCCGGGCCAGGGCCGCACGCGGCTGCGCTCACCAGGCGCGGAAGTGTCTGGGGCCGGTCCTGCCCGCACCAGTGCCCTGAGCCGCCGCTCGGCCCTCTTCGCCCCCAGCTGCCCGGTGCATCCCGTGGGGTGCACTGGGACCGCTCGCACCCGCCGGGTGTCCGGGACGCGGCACCGGCCTCTCCCTGCACGCGCTGGGATTCCTCTCCGTGTTGCTGCGGGACGGCTGCAGCGCGCAGCGGGGAGGCCGCGGCCCGCGGGCGGCAGGGACGTCCCCATGGTCCCGTGGTGGGGAAGCACACGGCCCCTCTCCTCGAAAGCACATCCCCGTCCTGCTGCGCCAGGGCGCTAGCGCCCGCATCGGGGTGYAAAAGCTGTCCCGGGTGGTGAGGGACCCGTTCGCACCCCATGTCCTGCTGGGCCAGGGGGTGCCACCCAAGGGCACCTGCGGCCCCGGGCCAGCACCTCGTCWGGAGCCGCTCAGTGCATCATTTCAGAGCGGCTCCTGACTACGCTGTCCTTAACACCGGCTTATTTTGTGTGTAGGTATCACGCTCCAAACAGAGCCCCCTTATCGGCAGCATCTTTCCTGCTCCGTTTATTGGGACTAGGGCACCGGTGGGAATGTCGCTGTTCTGGCGCCCAGGGCAGAGGGGCTGCGGGCCCATCCAGGAGCTGTGACGGCGGCCCCGATGATCGCCGTGGGGCAAGGACGAGCATGAGGCTTAAACCCTTCTCCCTKGGAGCCACCACGTGCCCACCGCCACCCCGACCCCTGCATGTGGGTCCCAGCGGCCGCAGGCAACGAGGCAGCAAGGCGTCACTGACAGGACTTTATTGCTAGGCCAGCTTGCTCAAGGGGTGGCCGGCGCCCGGATCCATCATCCCTGCGCTGCGGTGGCCAGGACCTTCGGGCAGAGATGGCGACGGCTTTGGCGGCTAATAGCTCTGCCTCCTCCTCCTCCTCCTCCTCCTCCTGTGGGAGCGGGAGCGGTGACCTGCGGAAACAGAGCCCCCCCATTGGCACCGGCGTCTCCGCGGGGCGCGCCGGCGCCTCGGAGGTGCCGCCC